CCCCAAAACCCCAAAACCCCAAAACCCCAAAACCCCAAAGCAATTTAAATAATTTATTTAAATTCTTATGAGTCAAGAAGACCAAAAGCTATCGTTTGGAAGACCAAGTTATGAGAATAGAAGGTATTTCTGGCTTTTTCTGCATAATATAAGAGCTGAAAATAGTACTTTCCACATAAGTCTAGGATTCTTCTATGAAGATCAGGAAGGATTGGAAGAGCCTGCTGTCTATATGTTTTCGAAAAATAATTTTGCTAAATTTCATTCATAATTTCCCACCTTTTGGTTTTAACCTTAAATTGACAAAATTATAAAACCTGAAGAGTAACAAGGAGTCAAGGAAATATTATTTTCTGTTCTAGTGCGCCCTATGTGGCAAAGAATAGCTAGAAAGGAAGTATAGATACCTTAAAAATGGGACTAAAGTTTTACAAATCCAGAATATGAATTTATGTTCATCAGCTTTAACTTTTTAGCATTCCTCGAATCTCAAGAGACCGTCACCTCCCAGGAAGAGTAAGCGAGCAAGTATCATCAAACAAGAAGTTTAGCCAAGGAGGGTCAAACCCTCAATGGCATGATAACTTCACAGAGGACGATATTGGTAATGAAGGCATCACTGAACTTTTTAACTACCTCTCCGATTCAGAATCTGAAGAAGCAAAGCGGTACTCAGTGGGTCTCCAACGGTAAATAATAACCTGATCTCATTAGGTTACCTTCTGGCGTCAAAAAGCTCGAAGAAGATGACACTAAGAGTTTGGGAGGTGACACAGGAACATTTCCCTTTGAAAGAGAAACTGAAAGTGAAGGTACGTGCTTCTGAGTTGATTATTAAGGAGTAGAAGGAAATAAAGAAATCAACCTATCTAAATTCAATGCTGATGAAAAAGATGGTATTGTGATGGTAGATCAGAAAGAAAGGGAGCCTGACAAAGACGAGGACTTACAGCCTTCCTCCCCTCCTAAGCACCTTTTAAAGGGTAATTTTGTAATTTTTTATTTTTAAGAAGAGCAAAAGCAAAGAGATCGACTAGAAAACTCAGAAGATCAAAGGCTCTTAGAAGAATTTGAGTCAAGGATCAGAAAGACTGATTCAGAAGAAAAACGCCCAAAGCCTCCAAAACAACTGGATGAGCTTGTCAGCGAAGGCGAAGACTCAGAGGAGGAGTTTGATGAAACTGCTCATCAGATCTATCAGCCTAAACATGATGAATATGACAATATCCTTCGGAAGAAGACATTTGATCCTAATTTACCTCCAATTTACGATGATTCAGACAACGAGAACAATGAGTACCATAAATATCTAGCTCAGATCGAAGCTAAAGCAAAGAAATATAAACGAAAAGCAAAGAAGCTTTATTCTAATTTACAAAAACTCAAAGTTCATTATGAGAAGGCCAAGAGGAATGTTGATGACCTCAGTATCGAGAATAATGGATTAAGAGATCAACTTATTGCCTATGAGGATAGACTAAACTACTTGCACTCATCCTATGGAATACCTGCTCATGATGAATGCTTACTAAACAAACGGCTAGATTCCTCTAGCTCAGACCCCCTTGTCCATCAGTTGATGAAGGAAATAGAATTCTTAAAAAGAGAAAATAAGAGATTAACCAATCACTATCTTGAAAGTATCGAAAATACAGATTATAGGTAAGTTCTTACAGCTTATATATAGCTCGAGAGACACAGAGAGCATTGTAATGGTCGACCAAGCAAGGGAAATTGAAAGACTCACAAAAGATTTAGGAATAAGAGATTTGGAATTAAATAGAATTTCCAAGGAAAACCATATTCAGAAAGTAGAGTTAGATCACTTGCAGCAGAAATTAGACCAGACACTTTTCCAATTGAAAAATACAAATCTAGCTCCACTTCACTTTCAGAATTCTTCGGATTGAATTAACCGTTCGTTAAATGTTGATAATTTCCCATCAAGTCCAGATTGAAGAGGCCACTTGCTTCCTCCTCACTTGAAGTACTCAAAGATGGCGTCGAGGATGACTCAGAGTAGTCCTTCTTTTCAGAACAATCAGCCATTGAGGAATGTTTACAAGAATAGGCACTATGACTAACTGTAGATGAATGAGGATAATTTTATATAAATATGCAAAGTTATCACAGTTTTACATGTTTTTACTGATGAAAAAAATCTCTGTCCAGCCCAACAACTGTAAAAGAACAGTTTAGTCAAATATGGCTAGAAATTACCCTTTTAAGGACTTTTCGGCGGGTTTCAAGGAGCCAAATTTGCTCCTTTACTTTCAGAATCATAGTAGAAGTTTGGGTGCTATTTTGGGCTCGCAAATATCGTTCAGTAATTTTCACCTTCATTTGTATGGGATATATTGTTGAGAATAATATATCTTCATTAGACTTTCACTTAGCAAAGATTTGTGTTTTAAAAGCTCAATTCAAGAAATCCAACAAAGTTTGTGGTACCTTTCCTTCCCGAAAGAAAAGGTATTCTAGGATAGAATTCTGGAAGATCGCTAGATAATTAAACTTTCTGCTCACACTTCTTTACTAAACATTGCATTGAAAATTACTAGGAGCTATCAGGTTTTCTTAGTTGGTATTTTCAAATTAATTATTCCAATTTTGCCTTATCAGCAAGGGGTTTTGGGGTTTTGGGGTTTTGGGGTTTTGGGG